TCGGCACCCTTCCTGCATCACGGCCGGGGCCATCGGGAGCATAGGGGGCGATGAGTGCAGCCGCTTGGGCGATGTAGTCTTGCTCATAGTAGTAGGCTTGCTCGAAGCTGCCCTCGACGGTGATGACCCCCTTGGGGTCAAACATCTTTAGCTTTAGATAGGTGTAGTTGGAGACAGCCATGAACTTGGTGAAGCATGGCCGGCTCAAGAGGGCGTGGTAGACACCGGGCAAGTCGACCACCTTGAAGGTGAGTGGCTCCTTGCAGAAGATGTCTGGTTGGCCGAAGGTGACGCTGAGCCGGATGCGCCGAGGGGCACTGCTTCCTTCCCCGGGATGATCCTATAGAATGGCACCTTGCTAGGGCGCAGGCTGCTTCATAGGATGCCCATCCTATCTAGGGTGCTGGCATAGAGTATGTTGAGGCCGCTGCACCCATCCATTAGCACCTTGGTGAGGTGTGTGGTGCCCACGATCGAGCTGACCATGAGCAGGTAGCACCCCGGGTGAGGAACACGATCGAGGTGACCCCCCTGGTGGAAGGTGATGGCCCTCTAGCACCATCGAAGCCATATCGGGGTGGCGAGGGTGTGAACGGTGTTGACCTCCTGCTCGGTGATGCGGTGCTGCTGGCGGGATTCGTACGCTTGGGAGCCCCGAAGATCATGAGGTAGCGATCAGCCTTGGGGAACTCGGTGTCATCATTCTAGCCAACGACCGCTGGGTCACCGGCCTTTGGGGCTAGCTTCTGGGCCTTGCCCTGCTAGCCGAGGGTGCCGCAGATGTAGTCCATGATGGTGGCATGGTCCTTGAGGAGGTGCTTTGCCTGCCCCCATGGAACGGGCAGGGGGCTCCGAGCGCCTTCTCAAAGTGCTCAGGGCATGCGGCGCTCCCGTGGGGCTGAGGCCTGGTGGCGTGGTTGGCCGCAGCTACCATCTCCTCCCAACGGTGCTTCCGGTCCTTGTTCCTCTTGTCACGGTGATGCTGGGACAAAGCATGGTCATCATCGCCGTCTGCACCGCTGAGGTAGCTGGCGTCCTTAGCCTTGCCACTGAAGTTGTCCTGGATGGCCTCCTCGCCGGTGGCATACTGGGTGGCGACGTCCAGGAGCTCCCATGTCATGCGCGGGGTCTCGCGGCCAAGCGCATGGACGAAGGCCTCGCATGTCATGTCGCAGATGAAGGCGTTGATCATGTCGGCGTCGGTGATGTTGGGGAGCTCGTTTCACTTCTTGGAGAAACGCTGGATGTACTCCTAGAGGGTCTCATTGGCCCTCTGCCTGCAGTTGCAGAGGTCCCATGAGTCCCTGGGCTGAGTGTACGTACCCTAGAAGTGGCCGACGAAGACTAAGCGGAGGTCGCCCCAGCAGCGGATGCTACCGGGCTTGAGCTGCTCAAGCGAAGCTCTAGTCGAGCTCGATAGAAGCAGGGGAAGGTACTGCACGATGAAGTCATCATATGACCCTAGCCCCTATGGAGAGGTGGTAGGCCTCGAGCCAATGGTCCGGGTTGGTCTCACCGTCGTACTTGGAGATATGTGTCGGCGGCCGAAATCGCCTGGGGTAGGGGGCCGCCCAGATCGCTGACCCAAACGCCTAGGGCCCGAAGTGATCCGAGGAGGTGCCCCCTGCACCCCACTCTAGAGTATGGGACTACGCCTAAATCTGGCGCCTAGCTTTGATGGTGTCATGGATGTCGCAGCCGTCTCTAACCCGATGATGCGCGGGGGGCCACCGCGGGGAAAGCTCGTGCCTTTGCTCCTGCCGGGGCTTGGCGCCCCTAGTCTACGGACGATCAGAGCTACTACCGGAGGAGTCACCGCCGCTTTCACCCATGGGTGGGGCATGAGCATCGGAGCGATCCCCATTGGTGGTAGTCGTTAGCTGAGACGGCCTAGCGTGATGCTAGGAAGCAGAGCTCTTGGCCTGCTGCTCGAGGGCGATGCGGAGAAGCCGCCTCGCCTCATGCAACCACTCATTGGTCTTCGAGTCTAGCATGTAGGAGATGTCCTCTAGCTGGCAGGTGGCGGCCGCCATATTGTAAGCATCTCGGAGGAAGCGCAAGGTGTTGGGAGCCCCAGTGCGGGCGTCGTCGTCGTTGATAGGTGGCTACACAACTTGCTGTCGTGCAAAGTCCTACCTTTGGCGTTCGAGCTCTACCTCGGTGCCCTCTAGGTCCACCTGTTGAGCTCACAAGAGATCCGCCTTCTCCTGAAGGTAGTTCACGTGGTTGTGGGGACTCAGATCCGGTGGTGTGAGCTCAGGTGCCTCATCAGCGGGGACCTCGCCGTCGATGTAGTAGCACATGCATGGTAGGGCATAGTAGTTGATGTCATCAGAGTCATACTCTAGGTCGTTCCCTGAGAGGATCTCAAGGAAGGTGTGCAGCGAGGGGACGTTTGCCCTCGCAATGCCAGAGAGGATGGCGTCCTGTGGTGCCTCGCGTTTGACGAGGTGCTCTAGCTCTAGCTAGAAGGATGCCGCTGCATTCTAGATCCCAAAAGGCAGGTCCAAGAGGTAGTACTAGAAGCGATCGGGTGGTGGGTGCACCTTGCTGGTGGCGATCGGTGGTGGACATTGGCCAGCATGTAGAACATCTAGTGCTAGTCCGACACTATGTGGTGTGCGGTCCCAGACCATGCTAGATCTGTTGGGCCAGGACTTCGAGATCTGCTCCTAGGAGGCCCGGCGGAGGGGTCGATGTTGGGAGCTCGTTGCTCGTCGGCGTGGTCACATCGAGCGAATGAAGCTCATCATAGCAGTTGGTGATGTAGGCCAGGCTCCCAAAGTTGAGGACCTAGCCCGGGTCAAAGGCACTACCCATGATGAAGAACTCGTCGGGGAAGCGGACACCACCGTCTGGGGCGGTGTCGCTTGCTCCGATGACGAGCAGGAGGCTCTAGCCACCGTAGAGCCTGAATTGTACTAGACGCTTCCCCTACATGGCGCGCCAGCTATCGTGGGGTCGAAACCGTGACAAGCATTATTGTTCGAGTTGGTGTCAGAGTACGTGTCTGCGGTGGCTTGGGGGACTCAAGAACCCAAGAATCATAGAGATGATGCAACGGTTTATCCTGGTTCAGGCCGATCGGTTCCCTACGTCCAGCAGCTGATGATCCTTATACTCAAAATCACCCAAAATCATGGGGTTACAACAAAGTGTATAGGAGAAACAGAGAGATTTTGTACAGGGTTAAATCGGTGCTAATCCTAAGGTTGCCTTGCCACCAATGAAGCCTTCCCCTCATCGGAGAGGAGGAAGATGACGGATGCAGTGGAGGAGTTCTCAGTGCCCTCTTTGGGTTGCTCTGCTCTCGGTGCTGAGCAGGAGTAGATGGATGGTGAGGAATGGAATTATCTATCTGGGATCATCCTCCCCCCTCTAGGATCTGATCTTATCCCTTATATATCGAGATAGGTCAGTTACATGGTAGTTTGGGGGGTTGAGCCTATGGTCTACATGCGCCGGAGTCCAGGAGGGTCTTGTAGCGATGCTCTGTGGATCGTGGTGTGAAGCCGAAGAAGCCCTAGGCGTCGTCCGGCTGCTCTGTTCTGACACTCTAGGTGTTAGGCTGTGTCGGCTTGGACCGGCCTCCCCCAGGTAGACCTTCTAGAGTCTTCTTCGTGGCGAAGGAGGTCGGCTCCAGGGGCTGACGAGTGGGCCCGGGAACCCTCGAGCCCCTAGAGGCCGAGGGGAAGCTTGTCTTCTTGTGTCACGCCCCGTGCGTGACCTTGTCGAGGGAGCAGCCGGTAAGGCCGCGCCCAGAGTGCTGCGTCGAGGAGCCCCCGAGCCTCAGTGGCTCGGGGTGTGTCGTCTTGTGCCTGGGCCTTGGCTGGCGTCATAGGCCGGGCGGGAGCCAAGGCCTGAGCTCAAGTTTCCCGTCGATCGGGAGCCCGAGGCTCGGGAAAGCCCCTGAGCCCTGAGCAGAGGCCTTGGCATGCTCAGGCTTGGGCAAGTTCCTTAGTCTAAGGGTGCACGCGAAGCGTACCCGATGGGTATGGCCCCCGAGCCCCCGGGCGATCCTGGGGGCATCGGCCGGAGGGTCTCTTCGGTCGGGAACCATAGATCCCGAGGCTTAACATACCCATATGTTATAGGATCTCGTCACTGGCCATACAAGGTCATCACCTGAACATAATGTCAACAACACCAAGTGTGCCACCCACGCGTGCCACGGGGGAGGTCATGCCCCAACCGTTTGTCCTTCTAAACAATAGACAGGGACATGTCACGCCTTCTTGTGACGGTACTGTCTCCACGACCAGTCAACAGACGTTTGATGTGGAGGCACGACTCCCCTTCTTTTGCACCAAGAAAAAGGATGGTGGGTCCCATGACCCTGAACGATAAAGATTGGTGAACGAGCTGACTCGAAGCACCTTTTCGTTTTTAACATGCCCCCCAAGAACCCATATAAGGGAAGGCCATGGCTCTTTTCCCTCTCTCTAGACTCTTTGACACCCGGATAGTTTCCTAGGCTCGCTAGAGTCTGTGCCTAAATCTCTAACTCTTGAACATCCTGTTTGTAACCCCTATTATATTGCAAACATTCGGCCCTTGAGCTCATGAAAATGAAAGAAAACCACGAACTTGACACATGGCATATTGCCTGAACCAATATAATTCTTGAGTCCTCGAGCGCCAAGCCATCCGAGGACATACGCACACTTACAAATTTACTAGTTGACGCAAAAAAGATATACACCTTTGTAGGAAACATCCACAAAACAGTAGACGCTACGAAATAGTTGACGCTACGAAACATCGACAAACTGTTGCATGCATTGTCTTTGACAACGTAACACTGAAAGGTAACAAAGTATCACATTTAGATGGAGTAGAGGCAACATTTTGTATAACATGGATGCTGCAAAATTTTACGTCTTGGCTGCCATTACATTCCAAAAACGTAGTACAACACTTCTAGCGTTAGTCTGCTGAGGAAGTTAAGGGCCAGGCTTGGTAGACTCTGAATAAAGAAGTGACCAATCGGTCACACTTGGTCAACTATTGATGCTGATGTTGTCTCCACCTTCTCTTGAGGTTTTATGATGATTGTTCTCCTCATCTGCATCATCCATTGCACTATTCACCTTGCCACAAGTTGCAACCTTTGTTTCCTTGCTCTTACCCCAGAGCACACTGTAAAGTCCACCAACCAGCAGGATCCCCCCAACAATACTGCACGCCATGAAAACAACAAGCTAGTGCAGTGAATTGAAAGATTTCCTCTAACTATTTGCAGTCATTAGAGTTAGCTTTTTTTTGCGAGGAGTTAGCTTAACAATGTACACGCATACAGTAGTTATTCTTACCCGCCGAGGTGCACAATCTCTCCCAAGAAGAACGACGACGAGAATATTGTGAAGACGAAGCAGAGCGGGGTCCAGACGGCAAAGAAGACAGGGCCTTTCATCTCCACACACCATGCTTGCAGGTAGTAGGTCACTCCCGTCACCAAGAACCCCTGTCAGGTTGATTAGATTCATTAATTCCACCATCCATTATCTGCCCATCCCGTTCATGGCTAGCTGCCGAGATTACTGTTACGTACGGTGTAGAGGACGGCGAGCAAGCTGATGTCGAGCCGGAGGCTCCACCTGGAGAAGTCCCTCTCAGCCACGACGGCGACGACGAACGACTGCACGGCGCTGAACACGCACTGCACCACCGTGACGAGCATCTTGTTGGGGTACTCCTTGAGCAGCCTGCCCTGCAGGACGATCCAGAGCGACCACGCCATGTTGGCGAGCACCATCAGGAACGTGCCCTTGATCCATGTCGTCCTGCCGCCGCTCGGAGCTGGACTGGCGGAGGAGGCGAAGGCGCGGTGGCGGTTCACGGGGCTCAGCGCGGGCCCGACGTAGAAGGCTATGGCGAAGACTCCGGCGAGGCAGAGCGACACGCCGGCGAGCTTGGCTAGGCCTGATGAGCTCCTCAGCTTCACCGCCTCCATCTTCAGCAGCAGCGCGAAGCAGAAGGTGACGACTGGCATGGCGTTGGTCGCCGCGGACGCCACGGTTGCCGACGTGAACTTGAGGCTCACGTTGTACAGGTTTAGGCTGAATGTGATCCTGCAAACGTAATATTATTAATAGCCACTAGTTAATAAGTTGTTTGAATGAATGAAACATATAGAAACATGCATGCATAGAAACATTTTCTTTCAAAAACAAATATTAAATATATAGAAACATGCATGCATATTAGTGCATATATACCGTACCCGATTAAGGCTAAGAAGAAGAGCTTCAGGAGCAGCCAAGGCGACAAGGTTCTCACATTTTTCCTGCAAATTAGTTGAATTCATTCGTCTCAAATCTCAGAACCAGCTGGGTTTCATTCAATTCACAGTACTAGCTCATCACTAGATAGCTAGTAGGTTAGGACAGGTACCTTTCAAGAACAAAAGCTATAGGAAGGAGGAGGAGCGACGCGGCGGCCTGGCGGTAGAAGATGAAGACGTAGGTGTTCATGCCATGGTTGAAGGCCGCCTTGGAGACGACGAACATGCCGGTGTAGATGAGCTGGACGACGATGGCGATCACGTAAGGCTTCTTTGCCTCCATCTCCATGACGACACGACACTCCTAAGCTAGCAGTAGCAGATCTCTGCAACGATCTGATGGAGCGAGCAATAACCAAAAGCAGCCAGAGTATAGCTAGCTAGCGGCAGAATGCATGAAGACTGAAGAGAAGATCAACTGCTGCCTGCCTTGTCAGGTACACACTACGCACACATATAGTAGCTAGCAAGCTAGCAGAATGAAAGGAGATTAATTATTAACCAGTCATGTGTGTCGATGCAGGACTGACTAAGTTAATTAGTAGTATATGTGTCCAGGTATACGCGTTGCAGCTTGATCAGCAGCAGGTAGATCAACATTCATATATAATCGAAAAATGAATTATTGTTGTGTGAATGATGTATTCATGTATCTGACCAGCAGGTAGCAGCCTGCTGGCTTACTTACTATACCTGCTTCGTCTCCTGCGTATAAGCAAACAATCAAAGGGATCATCGTAATAAAATACTAATTGGCTGCTAATTGTGCATGCACATTGCTAAGCCGTCACCAGCTTATTATATATGGGTCGGTCGGTGATGATACTGATACCTTGCTTATATTTGTTACAAATTTAAAGGCTGAATTTTTAAATACTTGTGCACCTTGCACATATTTTGCTCCTGAAATAATAAGTATATATACTACACTAAATACTAATTAAGCACACATCATCACTGGTTTATATACTACTAATAATAATCTAAATTATACTATATATTAGATTTATTTGATTGATCAGATCGAGCGAGACAAGAGAGACTAGTCATTGGTCAAACCTAGCTACTCCTATAAAGACTTGAAAGATTCAAACTTTCGGTAGCTAGTACAGATCGAACTACATGCTAATATATTGTATGAGATCAACTTGAGAAGCAGTACGTCTTTGCTGTGTCCATGTATGTATGTCCACGGTTTACGGGGGCTGCATTCATACGCCAAGTAAGTGAGACATTTGTCTCATGTGCTTCAGATTTTACGAGCATGCTACCTAGCTATTAATCAACTCCACAGCAAAGGTCTAGTACACACACTAGAAATAAACAAATTGTCGATGGAACGGAACGGAACGGAACAGGATGGGATCCTAGAAAGTTGTGATTTCAGTAGCAAAGACTAAAAGGTATAGGGTGCTAAATCATATAAAAGTACTGCCTCCGTTCCAAAAAAGAATACACAATTCTATGTTTAGTGAGAGACGACGTTCTCGTCGACAGCGAGGCACACAATCTCGGCCTAGTCTTTGAAGATGCTCAAGGGATAGGGTTTGCGTACGTGCATTCCTAGGAGTGAGTGTGAATACGTTATGAGTGTCTGAGTTGTACTGTATAATCGTAAAAAAAACTTAAAGTTAACTAGTTTATGTAAAATAGTATCAACATTTAAGACTCCAGATAGGTATATTACTATAAAAGTATATTTGATGACAGATCCTAATGATATTTATTTAGCACATAAAAATTGTACTTATATAAATTTAGTAAAACTTAGATGATTTGATTGAGCACTGTTCTAGAATAATTACAATTTTGGTAAGAACCAAAAAGAGTACTCCTAGTAATAAATGGTTACCTCTGTATTATTATGGTATTATAAAAAATGAAAAAAGAAAAGATGGCTAGCTAACTAGCTAGCTATAGAGGCCCAGCTGTTGTGTGAGACATTTGTCCGATATGATGTGCTTCAGATTTTACGTGCAAGCTAGCTAGACTAGCTGTTTCTCAACGCCACAATTGCAAGCAATGGAGTACACACACTAGAAATAGATAAATTGTCGATGGAATGGAATCCTAGAAAGTCGTGATTTCAGTACCAAAGGCTAAAAGGCGTCTACGGTGCTTGAACATTCAAAAGCAGAGCTACCTCAGTCATATACCTAGTATGATGCAATTCTAGATTTAGATCGAGTCAAACTTCTTTAAATTAACTAAATCTATAAAAATAGTATTAATATTTATGACCATAAATAGATATAATATAAAATTATATTGCATGATGAATCTAATTACAATTATTTGGTATCATAAATGATATTACTATTTTTATATATTTCAAACGGATAGAGTAATAAGATGGTCACCTCTTTATCAAAAAATGGAAAAGAAATGGCTAGCTAGCTATAGGCCCAGCACAAGCTAGCTAAGGAGCTATAGTTGGCCATTTGGCCTGGGCACTTCGGGCCGGCTCAAGCACGACACGAATCAGCACGGCCCAGGAACGGCCCGGCCGATGGCCTTCGTGCCGGTGCCTGGCACGGCCCGGCCTTAGTGTTGTGCCTGGGCCGCCATTCTGGCCCATAGTGCCCACCCGGGCACGGCACGCTATATGGGCCGGCCCGGCAGCTGGCACGGCTCGGCCGTAGGTGGCCGTTGGATCCCCGGCGTCGCTCCCATCCGACAGTTGGATCCGACCGTTGGAATCGGGGGTATAAAACCGCAGCGCTCTCGCCTCGCTCTCAGTCTCCGTTGCCCTAATTCAATTTGAAGGGGGGTCGTGACGCCTAAGAGGGGGGTGAATTAGGTAACTTAAAATTCTAACTCTAAACTATGGCCTCTTTTTCTAACCTTAGCAAAACATATGCAAAAGACAAACCATCTAAATGTGCTACTATGGTTTTGCTAATGTGTTGCTATCTCTACCGCAAAAGGAGTAATGCAATCAATGTAAATGCGGAAACTAAAGAGCAAGGTAGAGATATCCAAACTCCCGTCGATGACTCCGGTATTTTTACCGAGGTATCGAGAAGCGTGCAATCTTTCCCCCTAATCCTCGTTGGAGCCCCTCGCAAGGAATCCCTCTCAAGGGCCAAGCTCCCGGTCGGGTAACTCCGTGTATAGCCTCGGGCCTTCCCCACGCGCAAGTGGGTCTCCGACGTGCCTTCCGGCAAGCCTCTCCCGAATGCTCCCCGCCGTCTTCACTATCAAGCTTTCGGCCGAAACGTCGCGGGCCTTGTTCCCTCCGGTACACGGTGGCGGCCACACCACAAACGCGGTTGGTGTGATCTCCCAAGACTACAAGCCCCTTCGATGTACAACAATGGTGCGCGCAAGCACCAAGTGGTAAGAGGTATGCAAACCTCACTAAACACTAGGCCTAAACCAAGAGCAAGCGCATAAGCGATGGTCTAATCAACCTAAGCACTTCGCAAAGCACCTACTCTAATCACCTAATAAAAAACTAAGCACTATGCAAGTGGAGATCACTAAAATGGTGTATCAACACCCTTGGTATGTTTCCTCAGCTCCACCCATCTCATTTGGCCGGTTGGGGGTTGTATTTATAATCCCCACTGAGAAAATAGCCATTAGGGACAAAATCCTGCTTTTCTGCTACTGACCGGACGTTGATCACGTCCTGACCGGACGCGTCTGGTCGTCCCAACCGTTGGAGCCACGATCCACTGATCGGACGCTGCCAGCGTCCGGTCACATGCCACCGGACGCGTCCGGTCGCAAATTCACCGCTCTGGAACCTCTCTGTACTCGATCGGACGCTGTTGTCCTATGTCCGATTGGTTTGCCACCAGCGTCCGGTCCAGCGTCCGATCGCTGCTGCTGTTGCCGAGCCTCCTGATCAGAGCGTCCGGTCGCTTTTCTCCAGTGTTCGGTCCAGCGTCCGGTCGCCTTTGTGAGCTCGTTTCTTCATGATCTTGCATGCGGCTTGGTTCCTATCTTCGTGCTTGGACTTTACTTGATATCTTAGGTCTTCTCTTGTGCTCCTAAGGTTTTCTTTGAGGTGTTGATCATCGGATCGTCATGTCACCTTTGTCCAAGTCACATCTTGCATCCTATTGAACTACAAAACAATCACTTGCAAATTCATTAGTCCAATTTGGTTGTGTTGGTCATCAAACACCAAAATCTAAAGTAAATGGGCCTAGGGTCCATTTTCCTTACAATATCCCCTTTTTTGGTGATTGATGACAACACGACCAAAGCAAGCAAATAATAAAAAAATGAATTTAAATCCTATCTACTTGCTAGGATGCAATGGAAGAGGCAAGGTTATATGATGCTAAAAGATACTACTTGTAAGACTACATAAAAACTTATCTTGCCCTTGTAAATGTCCCTATGTGGTATTATGGATTTAAGCCTTGCTTTCTACAAATTCTCCCTATTACATATGATAATCCATAATCCACTATCCTCCCTTTCTCGGACCATTATTACAAATTAATGCTTGCTTTTGGTCCTCTAAATTCTCCCCCTTTCGAATCAAACACCAAAAAGGAAGATATTAGTAGCACAAGGGAGGGTCAAACTTTTGTGATCCTTTATGTGTAGAGTGGAATAGGTCACAAAATTTTGACTCTCACATTATATAGATTAAGCTCTCCCTAAATATATGCAAACATATGGTAGAAGGCAAAGCATATGCATAATTGGCAAATTATTGCACAAGAAAATTTAGTCTATATAATGCATGGAGAAAGCATATAAATATCAAAATGAAATCAACATGATAATATCAGGTTTAGAAATACCACATGTGAAAACCAATTTGATTTCTACTACTTGCAATATGTGGTGGATATTTAAAGTATGATGCTTATCTCCGGGGACTCCATTTACCTTGCAATGAGACTACTACACACATGATAAGCTTGAAAAGGTGTTAGTCTCAAAGTATCCAACTTGTAGAGTAACCTCCCCTAAATTTGTGCACACAAGTGTGGAATACTTGTAGGAAACGTGCACATTGATTTTAGAAAAATAAAAACCACTTGAAAGATGACATCATATGAATGTGAGAGTCATTTTCGAAGGTGATATAGGGAAGAGATTATCTATAATTCAGACTTTGGCACATATTAGATGAACAATTGTAAGACAAGCTATGTGCCATGCTCCTAAATAATTTTAAACCATGTAGGATTGCTCTAAGGAATAAGAATGAAACCGAGCAAGTCTACCATATGAAATACCTAGTGTATGCATGACAAAATATATAAGAATGCAAATGCAAACCTAGGCATGAAGAGTAACTAGATGCTAAAATATACCAAT